TGTTTCTATAACTTTTTATAAATTAAGTTTGATTTTTCTTAATAGAAAAATCAAGACATGGTAATATCTGATATTAAAAATTGTTTGCATAATAGTAAAACTATCTAGTCCAATAGGTTGAACAAACAAAAATAATGGTTGCAAAGGAACTTAAAGTCTATATGGAGATTTGCATAAATATTTATACTTATCATACTAACTACACACCAACTACAAACTATTGATTGCTTTCTTTTGTTTATTAAATGCAGAATTGTTGTTGTTGTTCTTTAATTAGCTACCCAAGATAAATACAATGGTCTTAAAAGAAGCAGAAAACAAATATATACATGCTTTCCACATGTCATTTGTCTTTAAAGTGTAGAAAATATAAAGATTTGGTACCTGTGGTTCCAAAGTTTTCCAAGACTAACAATTTTAGCTGGATCAACTGAGTCAACTAAATTTTAATTCAATAACATATCAGTTGAACATAATTTGATTAATCTTTTTGATAAGAGTTTCTCTTATCTTAATTTCAGTTACTTTTTATCACAACTTCCACTTTTGATTCAGGTGACTGCTACTGGTTCCTGATTGCAGCTTTTTTTCATTTGCAAGACAACTGCCACAAAAATCTTGCTTCTAGGGATAGAAGCTGCAAGTTTAAGTCTTAACAAAGGTTTATTTTTTATTTATTACCCAAACTAGTTACTAACAATTACCGAGTGATGATTTTGAAGTTGAGATATAAGAGCAACTGAAATTAAAATGAAAGAAATACTAGTTAGAAATGAATAATAATTGAAAATGCTTTACTGAGGAAATTTCAATAATATCATCTGATTCTGTTGAACAAATTTTTCACAGTTTTCATCTGAATGTTGAAATTAGTAATTTCAATATTTTTTTGGTTTGCTCTTTTAACTTATGAACTCGTCATACATCAGACAAGTATGAAAATACTGACAACCAATATTTTAGCAATACAATCTTCTCCTCTAGTTTTTGTAATTATACTCATCATTTACACTAGCATTTCCTTTTGGAAGATATAATAAAAGTTTAATGAAAGCAAAAGAAAAACTCATGAAAATTAGGTGATCAGCAGTAACATCAGTGCCACAAAGAAATTTGACAGTCATTATGATTTCAAGTTCCCTGTTATTTCAAAAATCAGATAAAATTATCAGTCTTATTCTTGTTTCTTCAAGAGATTAGCTCATTTTCTTTTATTTGTACCTGACTATGCCTTTGCTGGAGATATTTAAAGAAAAACAGTCTTATTTTATTGCATATGTATTTAAAAAAAAACTATTAATGATCATAACAATCTAACTGGAATTACACTACATCCTTGATGGCTCTTAAATGCTTTTTCTAAGGTATTTTCAGTGACTCAAAATTCAACCAATGCATATTATTCCAGGAAACAATTTCTCAGAAGTATAATTTTAGCAATTTCCCTTCAGTTTTTATAGATACAAATAAGAGATAAATAATAATTGTTATTGAAGATGATGATAATATTGACAAAGCTAACAAATACTTTAACAGAATTCCATGTAACTATTTTAAAATGTTTAAAAAAAGAATGAGCATTATTACAAAAGAAACAAACTCATCAAAAATGAGATGAGAACAGTAAATAATATTGTAACACCCTGAAGGACAATGCCAATTTGGAACTAGGGATAATGCATACTCTGAAATATCTTTTAATATTCAGCCATCTTGTGAATATAGAAACATATCATACCAGTGTACCAGTTGAGTCTAAGATTTAGATAGCATATACAGGACATGTTGTAGACCTTACTAAATTCTCTGAATCCAATTACAAGAAGCACACACTGGTTACAGAAATACTTTAAATGTTCCTGAATAGATAGAGCCAAGCAACAACTTAAGTACATGGGAGATACCATGCCGCATCATATAGATACTATTATTCTGGTAAAGGGTGAAGCTACATATTTTTTTGTACTTTAGTTTAAAAGCATATTTGGAGTTTAATACCCTGAAAGTTACTAATGGTCACTTATTTCTCAAGAGAGTAAGACTTCTTAACAACATATTTAATAAGGAAAGGAACAGAAATGACATATTTACTTTAGCTGCACTAATTTCTTATGAGTTTATATACATGGGAGAAAAAGATATATAAATTTCTATATACCAAAACAATGTTAGGAAAATTAATGACAAAGTGGAAAAACTTTTTCATATGACATCTATTGTCCTTTAGGACTTCATCAGACTAGAGTGATGTTATATCACTTTAGTCCAATGAAGTCCTAAAGAGCAAAACTTATCACATATTTTTTTTTTTACATTTTGTCATTAATATATAAGGTATGATCCAAAATTATCAGAGCTGGTGCTATAAAATGAAAACTACAACTCATATGAATTTGGCATTTAATCTCCTTCAAAATAGTCCACACACCTTATCCAGTATCATTTCCATTGATGGAAGCATTCCTGGATCTCCTTTTTCTAAATAGTGAGCAGCTGCCTTGTTGCATGCTCTTGGATTTCCTTGACATCTTGTTGCTTTCAAGTGGGGTTTGATTTTTGAGGAGAAGGGGCAATATGGTGCTTGTCATACCTGGGGAATGTTGTTCTCAGTCAAAAACTGCTGCACAAAACGTAGTCATAGATGGAACCTATGTGGTGTAGTGAGATAACTTTCCAAGAACTGCCATAAACAACAGAAGTGGTCATGCATGCAAGGCAGAGTGCAAGATCAATCAGTGCCAAGCAGCTTCACTCTGCATATTTTAGCTCCATTACCATAGCAACAGTCCTGATACTTTTTAATCAGACCTTTTATATATAATCTCACAGCATATGTCTTATTAGAGTAAAGGACTTTTTTTTTTTTCATGTAATTTCCAGCATTTTCAGAGCAGAGTAATAAAAGACAGATGTCAAATTATATACTAAAAAGAATATTACTAATAACAGTTTCTCATTTTTTTTTTAATCAGATGAAGAACCAAGAGATTCACAGAAAAGAAAATTTACTACAAGAATTTGAGGACAAATAATCTCTCTTATAAATACCAAAATAGAAAGAATATCTCACAGAATTAATTAAATCAAAAGTACTTAAGTTAGATTTAATTAATATACAAGAAAATCTAAAAAATAATTTTAAATGGATTTCTGAATGCATGAATTCAGAAGGTAACAAGAGCAATATCTTTTGCAATGAGATTAACATCCAACATCCAAATCATCACAACTGACACCACTCTTGAAAATATAATTTGTATTCTAAATTTAAGCAAGTGGCATGTTAAAGTTATGATAATGTCTCTGGAGATAAGCATGAAGCCAGTTCTCTCTGCACCAAGCCCTACCAACAGCTAAATAACATTAAAGTCCCATTGCTGACATGTGATGATGATGATAAACTATGTAAATGTTGGGAGGCCAATAAGCCTTGATTCCCCAAAATAAAATAAACAACTTATATCCTTTACTGAAATTTAATTGTCCTTGCCAAGAAATAGTTTTCAAAAACAGACAACTTATTTTTGCTTCCACTTATTGGAATTTATAAATTGAAATATTGGCAAGGGATAGACATCTCTGTTACAATCAGGCTCATCCATAATATTTTATCAAGTGATTATATCATATGGATGAAATAGTCAAACAATTATATATTGATTAACTAACGATCCTGCAAAATTTCTGTTTTAACAAATGCAATTAAATTCAATGAATATAGAACATATTTCAATTTTTTTCAAAGACCCAGACCAAAAGAGGAAAATGGGGCAAAATCACAAGTACTTAAAATCTTTGCAATATGGTAATACATAGCCATTTTCTATTTTTTTAATTTTTTTATTTCCTAAGTTTAAAACACTTTCTGAATTGGCAATCTATTTTTCTGCAAAATAGGAAGAGGTGTCAAGGTTATTTTAGCAAATCTAATTCTAATTAGAAATTGAAACAAAGGAAAAACACTATAACATTGCAAAATTTACAAAAAACACAAAAAATAGACACTCATACAGAAATGAAAGCACACAAATATAACAAAAATATTTAAACAAATGAATTAAAAAATGGATATTAAAATATCAATCAATTTATACATACATATAGTTGTCAATATTATTCCAATATAATCAAAGTGTAAAATTCATGATCAAGTCGGAACTTTTCACATTAGGCTCAATGAATTGTTTTAAATTGGTGACAAGAATTTAATTGAATACAAAATCTAAACAAAGATCTGTTTTCGTCTTTAAATAAAAGTGTAATATAAAATAAAGTGCAACATTTCTATTCAATTTTGTTAAATTCATACAAAATTTCCGTTCATATTTGCAAAATATAATCTATATCTGCTTTTAAACAAATCCTATTCAGAAATTAAATAAGTTCTCGGTCACTTTTACTTCTGAATTGAGTAATGTAAAGAGAATTTGGCAATTTCATTACTAAAAGAAATTAATTTCATCAAATATCTTAAATGGATAAAGTACCAAGATGTAATGAAATTATTTTAACTTTTAAATTAATTTAACATCAAATAAAAGTAAATGTAAATTATTTATTAATCATGTAAAACTATATATTTTCCCTATTTTTGAATAATTTCTACAAATTTTTTCTGCAAATAAAATAAAATTATAAAAAATATGTAACATAAAACATTAATTTTCTTATCAGATCAGATTGAATATACTTGTAAAGATTTATACTTATTTATAATGAAATAAAAGAAAAAAGAGAAACATTTTCTTGTTAAAATTAATCATTTCATAGCAATATTGACATCATTTATATTGCACCAACTGAGAAACCATTTCTACTGACGAAACAAAAATAAACATAGATACCATAAAATCCATTATTATAACTGTTGGTCACCAACATATGCTGTCTTCTTTTGGAAAATAAAGTTTAACTGCTATGTACCAAGATAAGTGAAGATCTTTCATTATGAATAATAGCCTGGTGAACAACTTGGTAATGTGTTATTGAGGAATACGCACCGTACTCATCATCATCATCACTGATGTATTCCAAATTGTCATAAGAAGAATGGCAACTGCCGTCTTGGAGATTGCTGCCTTCTCCGTCTTTTGGACACAATTTGGTGCCTCTGCAATAGTAACAATAAAATAAAAAACAGAGAAAAAAAAAAGTTTAAAAAAAGGAATGTTTGAAGTAAAGGGAATTTCAAGAATGTAATGTGTTCAAGTTATTTTTGAGAAAATTAACCCTGTCTAATTATTTCAAGTGGAATATTGCATACCACAAATGAGAATGTTGTTCAAAGTAAAAACTATTCTAATACGAGAATTTTACAACTTCAAATTTTAAACTATCCACAGAAACAGGAAGTTAACAATAAAGCAAATTTGTAAATAGCATTCTCTGTGCATGTTAGCAACAATAAAATGAAGATTAACCATTTCCAAATGTACAGAACAGAACTGACTGGCCAAACACATACATTATCTACAATTAATTATTAGAAATGAGCAATTAACCTTTTTCTCATATGTAGCACATTGCAATAAGCTTTGAAGCTTCTTCACAAATAATCCATTTTTGTGTATTTTTCCTTTTTTTTTCAATACAGTGGCCTTTTCAGTAATTATTTGTATTATCAGAAAAATAGACATTACTTCCTGATAAAAACAGGATATTACCAATTTGAGCATAATTATGTCAATAAATTAAATTTGTCTCTTCTAAATCTTATCTTACAAGTGAATGAACATAGATTTGATTGATTAAAATCTTATATTCTTACATCTATTTAGGCTTGGCAATCTTATATTTCAGCATTATTAAAGTTTTCTTGTTTTTAAACAATACCTTTTTATATTCATCCTTAAAAACTAATTTTAACATTCAATGCATGATTTTATAAGCATGGTCCAAGGAAGGAGTGTACACAGCCAAAATGGTCTGAGAAAAGCAAATGAGGAAAGAAGTCTGAACCAACCACATACAATGATTTTAAAATTTATTTTTATCTCTTTTTTTATTAGTTTTTGGGAAACATTACATGTCCACAATATTTGCCCTAACTTTGATACTGCGGTGGTCTAAATTATATCAGTATTTCTTCAAATATCTCCTTTTCCCAGTGTTCAAACAGTTCACCATATAGTGCCACAAGTTTTGCAACTCTTCAATAAAACATGTATATTATCCATAAACTACATTAACTATTTGACAGACTTTCTTTTGTTTATGATGCAATGGAATAAACTGTCACCCCCATGAGTAACTACATTATAGGTAGTAACTACCTGTAAGTATCAGTAAGTCAATGGACTATGGAGTCTAGCTGGGATCTGTTGAGTATGACTCAGACTTACGTGAGAACTACCGACCTTCCAATAGCAGCACTCACTATTGGATTGACTTGCGATGATTGTGCGCATAACTGTTACCTTAATTCTTATTGTACAGGTTTTTACAATAAACCTTTATTTTATCCACCGTGTTTTTCAAGTATATATTCCTATTAGCATGGAATATAACAGTTTATAATGTACAAGTCTTGATTGAGAAAAGGTGATCTGGTTAATTTTGAAAACCCTAAAATCTTTTACATTTTTTTTTTATTTCCTGTTTTGTATATATCCTTTTTTATTTGGATATTAAAAACTAAAACACCAAATGAACAAATAAAAATATAAAAACAATATTCTACTCCCAGCAAGGCAACAATGCCACTAGATTTCACAGAATTAAAGGCCATGAAAATGAAAGAGAATGAAAAGACTGAGAGTGAGGAGGATTGAGGAAAGGACAAAAAAGAAACAAAGTTCAAGAAAACAGAAGATGGCAATTGATGTTGCATTTAAATATGTAAAGATTGTAGTTATCAGGGAAGCAAGAAATTTGGAGGGATATATATATATATATATATATATATATATATATATATATATATATATATATATATATATATATATATATATAGAGAGAGAGAGACATTGTATTTTATCTATTTATTATTATATATATGATTTTTAATATCACTATTGCTAGGAAGATAATTACAATTATCTGCCATGCACAGGTAAATTTAAACATTACAGACAAAAAATGCACAAATACATTTGACATATTTAGTAAGTTTTTTCCATTTAATTTAGATTCAGTGCAAGTTCTATTTTTATATATTTCTTCACTTAGAAGTAATAATAAAAATAACATAATTCTTATCAATAAATATAGAATTAAAATCACAATGCTTTTCTAGTTAAAAAAAAATCTATTTCAATCTAAAAGAAAAAAAACAAATTATTAACCTTGTAGTTTAATCAGTAGAGGGGTGAATTGATTTTCATACTTGACCGTGCTTTCAATTTTTTCTCAAACTGTCAAATGATATTTTTTTTTCCTTTATTAAATGCTTGGCTCTTCTTTAAAAAAAAAAAAAAAAGATCCACTAATTCTGTAATATCAGGTGAAATAAAATCAAGCAACAGCAAATTGAAAAAGAATTTGAATAGAAATTTCTCACACAGGACATGATTTCTGAAGATGCAAAAATGTTACATTACTTGCAAGAACTCAAGAAATCACAGGAAATGAAGGAATGAGATGTAACTAATCAAGTACAAATAAACAAGTAAAACAAAACTAAAATCTACAGATGAAAAGAAAATACCAAAAACCAATCTCTCTCCTTTTTGATGTATGTTTTTTTTGTCATTTTCTGTGATCCCCTCTAATTTTCATATTTTCTCACCATTTTGTTCTCTTGCTTGATTTTTCAATCTTTCTCATTATCTGTATTCTATTATTAATCTTCCTCTCTTTCTGTTAGACACACAACATTTTTTTAAATTTTCTATTTTTATCTCACTCTTACAGACTTTCTAATTATTCAGTCTTGTATCTCAAAGTACCTCTGATTTTCTCTTACTGTCTCTCTCATTGTTTACTCCTCCTTTGTATCTCCCTCATTCTCTTTCTAAATATCACTTTGTCATTTTAATCTTTTTTTCTTGTTCCTAGCTCTACTGGCCAATGATATGGATTCAAATTTCCTGCAAAGATCCAAGGACGGAAGAGTAATTTCCCTTTTATTCACACAGGAAATATCTTGAAAGATATAAACTAATTTAATTGCTTGTTGTGTTTCTCCAACTATGCAATTTCTTGCATCATTAAACATCATTTAGAATTGATGGACAAGGAACTTCATATCTTTTAACTTTAAAAATAAAATATACATTTTCACTCACACCAACTCAAAAAAGCCCATATGTGAGATGTGAATATTAAGTAACAGTAATATATATGACATGGCATATATATATTGATCAATAGGCATGCATAAATAACCTCTCAAAGTTTCAATTTACTGATGTCTTCAGTTTGATGTCAAGCATAAACTGAAATAGAGATGCATTATAAAAATAGTCACTTCTAAAAATCAAGCAATTTGAAGTCTTTGGTGAAATAAATTTAACAAAAGACCAACTAAAAGTTTTCATATGTAGACAAACATTTATAGGGGAAAATGCATATCATTCATGTGCATTCAAATAGCACAAGAGATTTTGTGAAACTTAGATAATATTAAAGCAGATGTACTTTTGTTATTTTCAGATACATATGTTCAACAGTTATTTTGCACAAGATGTTGCATCAGTAAGTAATTACTGATAACAATAACAAGGATTAAGGGTTATACCCTTTATTGTTTATATCTGTCCATAGAGATGATTCCACAGGAGTTAACTGTTAAGACAAGTGTGTCACCTCTCCAACTATCCAAACAACAACATCTCAGAAAGTCATTCACTTTCTGAAATGAATGTTACTTTCATGAATGTAATATGGTGTCAGAAGCAGGATTATATTTTAAAAAATATATAATACCAACATCAAAAAGAACCTGAAGAATTGACTTTCAGTGAAAAAAAAAAAAAAAAAAAAGGAAAAATGTTTAAATTACAACCCCCAGAGAACTTTGATTTCACAGATGCTGGAAACTAGTCAGTCTGGCACCAGAGATTCCAACATTTTTAGTACCTTCAAAGCTATAAAGAATTGGCAGAAACTCAAGTAAATACAGTGATATATTGTATGGAAACAAAAGCCAAACAAATATATGTCACGATCCTTCAAGAAAAAGGAAGATGAAAAAAAATTTTGACATCATTTTAGGCAAATTTGAGGCATTTTCATGCCAAAAAAGAACATAATCCCCCAAAAAAAAAATTCCCTAAAAAAATGACCAGATAAGACACCACTTAGTTTTTTTTAGCGTTCTGTTTAAATATGATCACATTGTTGTCACGTCAGCGATGTTGTGAAAATGTATTCCTAAAATTTGAGTATTTTGAATGAAAAACGAAAAGAATTTTATTTTGATCTAAAACTCATATGTACGTTTGTCGAGCATTAATCTTGCTAGAAAAGGGTAAATGGAACGCTGATCTTATAAAAGATTTCAGTTATCTGTTTGGATTGGTCTTGCTCTTATGTCCATTGTCTTTTTCATGTTGAATTGAATATGGTCTATGTTAATCATGTTTTATGAATATGTTCTGAAGATGGTCTATTAGACCGAAACGTCCGACGTTGACATTATATTAACATTAAAACAGCATAATTGCATATTAGGATTTTTGTTTGTTTTTTCCGTATATTTTTCTTCATATATATATATATATATATATATATATATATACACACACACACTAATAATCTTTGTTCAGATAAATTACTTTATGATGTATTAATGTTATCAGGAATTTAATTGTCTGAAGAAAGCTTATGATGTTAATGTCACTTCTTAAAGTTACACACACCCATGTGTGTGTGTATATATATATAGATTTTGGTGATGTTATAACATGTTAATGTTATAATTTTTTAATATATATATATATATATATATATATCTATATATCTACACACACACATCAATAATAAATGTACACGTTGTTCCTCACTAGTAGTAGAATAGAAATTGACAGATTGAAAGGGTCAGTTTTTCAACCTGAACCTGAAGATTATCTCATTCATGAAACTCAGAGTTGTGCTACCAGTGAGGAAAAATATGTATATGTGTTATTAGTATAAATGTTAGCTTTGTTATTATACATCAAGAACTTTTATTACCACCAGCATTCATTGTGCACTCTCTCTCTCTATTATATAATTCTTGAATATGAGATAAAATCATCGGTTTTATCTCATATCCAAGAATTTAATTTCTTCTTTTCTGATTGCTTCCTTTATGATGATGGCATTGATGATTAAGTAGACTAATTCTTGCATGGCAGACCTGATGGCATTGACTGCATAGTAATGTTGGGAGAGGATGATATTGATTTTGTCAAGCCTTTCTCTCTTGTCATGGCCTCAGACTTGTGTTTCAAACAATTTAAGCTCAACTCCAGTGGCTTTCAGCACTGTTTTGAGTTGGTCCTTGTATCTTCATCAAAAAGGGCAGTTCCTTGGTCTTTTCCCAGAAGTGAGTTTACTGAATAAGACTTGACATAGAAACCTTGTCCCTCCTATTTTTGCTACATGCCCTGACCATTGAAGATGATGTTTAATGATCAGCGATTTGATGCATTGATTATTTCGAAGACTTTGATGTTGACCATATAGTACTTGAATTTGATGTTCAAGATTGAACAAAGCTTTTGCTGGTGAAAGTGATGCAAGAGTGAAAGAAAATCAGAGTAGAAGAAAGTGCCAATGATGCGAATTCGTTTAAGGTGGACCTCATCTTGCCAGGAAAATTATGCAATTTATGTTTCTAGTATTTTGTAAGTACATTTTTAATATTATAAAATTTTCAGTACTGAACTTTAAATTCACATGTTATTGAATGATTACTGCTTGCTCATGGCACCATAAAACTGAGCAGAACATATTGCAAGTAACTTGAAGACAAGCTGAGCATTACCAAGTAATGCTATTTGCCCTGAAAAATGTCATGATGGATCCAGTATGGTACCCTGATGATCTATTAGGTCATAGAATAATTTGATCTTCATAGCACTCAATACAAAATAACACAGATCTTTCTATTTCTATGCAAAATTCTAATCACTTATGGCCTGTAAAGAATTATTAATGCTCTAATCATTTAAGCTTACCAAATAAAAAGATAGTTTGGATGAATAGGAGTTCATATATGAAGTCAATGCTTCTTTTTTTCTTTTTTTTTTTTTGAGGTATATTCTGTTGCATCATCAAATAGAAGACTAGACATTGCCAAATATTGCCTTAAGTAACAAAAGTATAAATAATGTATAAAGCACTTTTAATTCTCTGCAGGTTATAAAGTGAGTGCTATTCTGGTCAATTCTTAAAATACATTTCTGCCATCTTAAAATCTATGTAGCTAAATAAACTTTTTCTTTAGATCTGTAATAACTTCTGGGGCTTGCTGATGCTGAGCAGACACATGCAGACAGAGTTTTCATATTAAATTTAATCTGACTGGAATAAAAAGAAACTAAATGAAATCTATTTAAATGAAGAATAATCTTGCCAATTTAGTAATCCACATTCATCTGCTATAATGATTTGATCAATTTCTATTTTGACTGTCTTCAAGTGATTCTATCATAAAATCAGACTTTTTCATTTAGCAAAATTAGAACTGTTTATCATTTGTCTTCTGAAGATGTGTTATATATATATATATTCAAACAAGTTTGGTTAAATAATTTAGACATATCATGTAGATTTATTTTGGTTGTGATCTTTTCATGTTCACAGATGAATTTCTTGGTAGTCTTAGAAAATTGATTAAGAAAAATACCAACATTTTCTTTCAAATAATTGTTATTTTCCCAAGTACTTTCAATCTCATCTGAAACCATGTTCAGGGGGTTAAATAGTCTGTGAATGTGTATATGTATTTCTGTAAATTCAAAACATTCCAACTGTTCATTTTCTGCATTATGCAGCATTCTAGATTTAAAATTCACATATATATATATATATATATATATATATATATATATATAAAGAGCATTTAGCAAAATATAAAATTTAATTCTCTACCATCGACATAAAAGAGAAGTTCTGGTTAACACACTTGTAATACATTCAGCAGCATGGCTTGACTACAGAAGGTCATGGTGGTAGAATCAATGAATGCATCAATGTTATATATGGGCAAATGAGAGAAGAGTACATAATCTGGTTATATTTTAGCATACATTATGAGATTTTAACCATGAAGACGCATAAGAAGCAACTAGATAGCAACAGTAGAAGAAGAATCAGATTTCCTTCCTGCTGCCCTACAAGTCAATAGAATATGCAGTTAATAAGAGTAGAGATGGAAATGGTGAAGGAGATTAGAGTTTAACTGAATGCAGTGTAGCATATTTGAATCAGTCAGCCAAGCTTTATTAACTGATCACTCAGATCATATGTGAATAAAAACCTTTTGGCTGTAGTAAAGAATATAATTATGAAAGCAATTACCTATGAAAGATAAAACTTTAAGAATATTAAAAAAAATAAAAAAACAAACAAGGTGAATGATCAACATGTTAGAACATTATAAAAGAAAAGGAATTACAGTGCTCCCTTTGGAATAAAGTCAAAATAACAGAGAGAGAACAATACTGGAAAGTAGGTAATGTGAAAAAAGTAGCATATATGCATTCCTTTTGAGCAAAGTCATAAATAATTAGTGTTAGGGCCAGTGCCCAGGAGAACAATATTTGGCTATCAAGTTTTTTCATATTATAAATTTGTATATTTTCTTATTGTTTTGTTTTTTGGTCCTATCCTAGCACCTCAGCTTCAGTCACTTTCCCACCACCATAATGTAGCTTCCCTGTGCCTTTTCTATAAATACTTTCATGGTAATTTTTCTGATGAACTTTCCTCTATGGTATGTAGACTTTATGAATTTATGTACAGTACTAGATTGGCAGCAAGGTCTTATCATGCTACAACTGAAATGGCTAGATGTAGCCATAAGGTCTATGCTAGCAGTTTCTTTTCTCACACTTGTCGGTTGTGGAACTCTTTTCTGTCTTCTTGCTTTCCAGTCAAGTCTGATCTTCCAAAATTTTAATGTAATGTTAATTGTTATCTTCTGTCTTCTTAATTCCCGTTCTATTATCATTCTCACTCCTTAATGTTTTTCTTTTTCTTATATTCTTTCATATTTGATAAGCCCCTGCAACTTAGTGGCTTTATTGTCTTTCTTGTGATGAAATAATTTAAAAAAGAAAAAAGTCCAAAATTATCTTGTGAAAATGAAAATTATGCCAGTCAAATTCTTAAACCATAAATTATGTTCCCCTTAAAGGGATAAAAACATACAAGCACTCAAGGATCAAGGATGACAGAATACAGCAAATATCCATGAAAGGCTGAACTCTAAAAATTGTGAAAAAAATAGCAAAGTTTAGGCATCCAGCCTGATTCACTTGTGAGTAAGAAATATAATTAACCTTAATGAATAATGATACTAGTTTAATTTTAGACCATACTGACCTCATATGATTTGCTTGTATTAAAATGTTATAAAAGAAGAAAATTTGGGTGAAGGGGATAATAGAAAAAAGAAAATCTAGAAGGAACCATTTTTTAAAAATTGTGATTTTAATTTTTTTCCAGGTTTTTTGGTCAGATAAACACTAGATCTAACAATCCTGACACACAATTGTTACAGCCTACACACTTTACCTTGTAACCAATGTACTGAAACCATTCATAGTAGTTATGGCATACTCTACTAAATGTTATTTTGTTTTGCAAAATATTTATCTTTGTAAAGGAAAACAGCTTTTAAATATCATTTGGAAATTATGTCATAGTCTTTTATTATTACTCATTTTTTACTAGTATTTTTTTTAGTCATAATTTCTGCTGCTTTATAATAATATCAATCTCCGATCATCATTCTACAACTGCAGTGGGATTAAAAATAAATGAGTATTCGGTAAGACTAAAAACCATATTTTCGGAAATCATGGCCTTCTATTGCAACTACTTTATCAATTAAGCAGGCCTCCCAAGAATAAGTGACACAAGTTGTTATCTTGCTCACAACTTATTCTTTATTTTAAAATGTGAATCTGGGAATTACAATAAAATGCAGCAGATATTAACATTCAAGAATTACTAGTAAAAAAAAGTAATAGCAATTCTCAATGCTTTGTCTAAAAAATTTGTGTACTGTTATTTTTTTTTCTGTTGTCTATTTCTAGACTATTAATTATAAACAATACTCACGGTCGTACAACTAATTCAATTTCTCCATTCGGTTGCGATATGATCTGTTGCACTTCTTCATAAGTCTTCCCAGTGAGCTCAATTCCATTCCATTCTAATATTTGATCACCTGAAAAAAAAAAGTCAACCTAATAATTTTTTTCTTTTAAAATGACTCTTAATTGATCTACATATCAATCAAGTCTTCAAAGAATCTTTAAATATTAGCTGGAGATCATATGGAAATATGTTATCTAGAACTGCTGGCAACTGATACAAAAAATGATTATATAAGTCTGTAACCTAATGATAAAAAAAAAATTTACAAAAGAAATACTTCCTGATTTTTAATGCACAAAATATGTAAAAACATGCCTAAATAAACTTAAGCTCAAAACTAAAAAAAAATGGTGTTTAATCATCAAAGGAGCAACATTTTGACAGAAAGTAAGTTGGGGAACACACACACACACAATTAAGGAGGGAAAAATTGGTTGAAAATAATAATGATGATTGTAGTCTCCTCGTTTTAATTTAACAGTAACAAAAAACATAATTGTTCACAACATATTCTAAGGAAAGAAGAAATTGTACTGTTATTATTTTATGTAAATTATAGACAGATTAAGGATTACAGGTGACAAATACTATGCTTGATGAATCCACTTGGGGCTGTTATAAAATCTACAGAGTCAAGAATCTATCCATCTTGAGAAAGATGTCAAATGTACTAAAGAAGAATATTCATTTGCTAATTGATCTAGAAAGTGTTGATAAATAATGCTGCTGATAATTTTAGGAAGAACTATTGTCATTTCAAAAGTTTTTATTCATTCTACAGCCTTCTTCAGTTTTACAATAAGTATGGAAAGAGAGAACAAGTTGGAAAAACAGAAAAAAAACATGGCGGATCAGTCACAGACCAACCAGTTTGGTTTATTTCCATCAATTCAAGCCACACTGGCAATACTGCTCTCAGTACTAGTTTAATATTCATGAATTCATATTTGCATGATGGTAATAATGCACTCCAATTCCCTTCATGCAAAGCAAAGAAAACCACATTGAGTTGAAATCCACATTGGTATAACTTACATATCTGTCCAATATGATAATATATGCCACTTACTTCAATTTTCTCACTCTCTGGTGACATTAACCTATTATCTCTCCATTTAGGATTTGCCATGCCCTATTTATGAGAACTCATTCTCATAAATAGTTGGTCAGTAAATTAATCACCATTTCTGTTCACTGCAAATATCTGTAGAAAACAGACCTCTCACTTTCATTCTGGATTAAGTACCAGAAGATCACTGGAAAACTGATTAGCTGAAACATTGTAGTAACAATAAAAGCAACATAAATAATGACATCAACAGTTCAAAGAACTCTTGGAATAAAATGTGAATGTTCAACTAGATTTTAATACTCAGTAAGTTTTATTTTTTGTTGCACTAATTTATAGCAGGTTCTTCCAATTCTATCTTTAAGTGGTATGTCTCTTCACAATTTAGATTATGACTCCCCACAGCTTCCTTTTTTAATTTAATATTTGTAAACTGTGTATTGTCATGATTATTCCTGAGAAAGACATTGTAGTGTTTTCCCATTGTCTATTCCAAGATTTTAAATTCAGTGTTGCTGTTATAGATTGTTTATCAAAGTTAGAGAACCATGTCTGATTCTGCTATTTAACCATAAGTAGGTCCATAAAGATGGATTCATGCCTTTCCCAAGGTCAAAAATGCAAATTTTCGCCACCAGAATTTGAACTTGGCTTACCAATTTAGTTTTCTGCACTAAACATTCATCAACCCCACTCCTCCTCTTTTCAGTTTCATTTTGATTTTTAAAATTGTTCACATAAACATATACAGAGACACTCCTTTAGGAAATAAATATTTAACATCCATAAAAATTTAAAAATGCGATAATCAGATGATAACTTTTAACAAAACGGAGAAATACATTAATATAATAAAGTATTGATCATAGGAATTACAAGGGACAAAAGTTAAAACTCAGAATTTTACTTATTTGCAAACAATATTTTTTATAAGAAATGTTTAAAGTTACTTCTCTTGATGACTGCATCAAATTTATTCCCAACACTTAAAAAAAAAAAAAAAAAGGACGGATAGACATTTTTTTATTTCATGTTGAATATGATTTTCTACTCCAGAAGGCCAACAGATATTATTCATTTGTCTTCATTTTTATAGTTATTAGCAGAATGTTTTGGCTAATGCATTCTCTAGCCTCCCTCAGGTATATGTTGTATATAGTCTTTAGAATTTGCTTACTATTCTTTTTATTTCCATTTTAATTTTTCATTTAAGAAGATTGTACCAGGAAAAAAAGTACTCAGCAAATTCTAAAAGTTAAATGTAACATAAACTCAAAGATTGAATAATAATTTGGCCAAAATGTGTCAATAAGAACAGAACTAAAGATATTAGTTCAAGTAATTTATGAAATAATGGTGGTACTTCATTTCTTGAGAAAATAAAACCTTTCAATGCATTACTGAATAAAACAATTTGGAAAATCATTAATAATTATTCTGAAAAGTTGTGTCAAATATAGAAATTAAACTTCAATCTAAAACAGATGATCATAGAATTTACAAAAGTTTTTTTGTTTTGGCAAAAATATTTCAATATGTTCTATTAAGAGAAAATTTCCTTTTAATTTCATAGAGATAACACAGGTTTGTGGAGATATGTTCATTGAATTCTTTCCTAATTGATCTAAAAATACCTTTTCCTAATTGATCTAAAAATACCTTTCTCAGTATATATCTGCATATGGTAGTCAACCTACTATATAAACAGTAATCTTCAGTCTTTCACTGACACATTAAGAAAAATTCCAAGACACTATTTTCTCTTTATTTCTCATCAGTACTTCCAAAAGTTCTGAAATGAAGTATTGATAATAAACTGTGAATTAACCAATCTCAATTCTTCATCTTTATTTTTAGGTAGTTTTCATTGTAACTGCTCAGACTGTTATTCTAATGCCATCATCAGAAACAAAGAATACGGTCTTGGCAAAATATGAACTCATATACCTTTGCCTCAGAAAGTTTATCTTTCTGTGATAACTTCTCTTAATGAGTGGGCTGGTTTTTGTTTTTTTATTTCTAATGTATGCTGTTTACTGATGGTTTGAGTAGTTGCAATAATGATGGAATGATAGTTTGAGTAGTTGCAATAAAAAAAACAACTAAAACATTAAGTAAAAGGAGTACTAGCCAAAAATGAATAAAATTTAATCATTCTTTATCTAATAAGAAATCAAGATTAGTATTAATAATATTATGAATTATTCAAACCTGCATTCATATTGTGACTGGTGTGCTTTTTAGCCCACCTCAAATTTATGTTGCATTTAATATTTTGAGAGCTTTCAAAGAGACAATGGTACCTTTTATTTCATTAGTGACTTTTGCTTTTTGAAAAAAAAAGTATAAAAGCAATATTAAGAGTTGTAAGTGAAATAAAAGTTCCTTGAAGATTATGGAGTGCATTATACACATAAGTAAAAGTGAACAGCATACAGATCAAAATACTATAATGAAAGCAACAGGGGAAATTTGCTGCTCAAACAATAATCAACATCCTGTTTTCAAGTTCATACATGAAATAGTAAACTAGAAACATACCATAACTACTTATATTAAACTTCTGCACTGTAAATGCAGAATGTCTACCATATCTCTACTCATTTTTTCTTTACTTACTTTTCTTATACTCTAAGAATTTGATTTGTTGCCCATACTTTCAGTTTTGGTTCTTTAAATTAAGAGATTTTTTTAAAAAATGATTAAAAATGAGATAAACATTGTACACAAGTTTGCCGATTTGTTCAATTACAAGTTCCTTTATCATAAAAACAGCTCTTATATCAGTTCCAAAGGATAGTTCAAGATAATTAATATTGCAAAAGCCTGTTTTAGCCCAGGTGATGCTTATTAATCCCTCTAATAGGAATAACAATTCTAATTCTTGCCTATTTCAACAATTTCTCTATTAAATGAATAAGTGATTCAACATACAAGTCTATAAGAATTTTCTTGTATTAAAAATCTTGTTTGGTATTACCATTATAAAATAACTAATGTTTTTTAAACAACATAATTTTCACATTGAAAAACAAATTTTGAATATGGCCACTTACCCTCTTCCAGCTCACCATGTAACTGTTCAGCAATGCCTCCCGGGTAAATAGCTGCAACATAGGCAACCATCTCTTCATCTGGACTTTGGTGTTTACCTCCAACAATCTTCATTCCTATCCCATTTCCTGTTGTAATATGGAACCATAAGAAAATTTTAGAAAAATAAGAAAAAAAAAGAAAAATTTAATTTCAATGAAATTTTATGGACAGCCTTCCAAAATTTGTTTAATTTACACCTGTCAAGAAGCAGTAAAATAAAAAAATAAATTTGACATGGAATGTAATAATTTTTAAAATTTAATTTCAAAAATGACTTTTATCAAAAAATCAAAATTTGATAACAAAATTATACAAACAGTTTCAAGAAAAAATATTTGCTTTTAAAATAAATTTAACTAATTTTTTATAAAATTCTATAATTTCTATAAAACAATGATACATGAAATAAAAATCACCTCTCAAAAGCTGATATTCAGTATTATTCTTAAAATAAAATTTCTATTAAAATAGGAAAAAGTCTCAACACTAGCTTAATAAGGAAAATGAAATTATCATCTAAGAAAGTTTACCATATAAGGTTATTAAGTTTAAATAGAACATCCTATTCAAATGTACTAGAGTATCATCTTAGTTCTTAACTATCCTAACACTTATATTAAAAAGAATGTTGATATAATTCAAATAAACAATTTTAAAGTGCTTTTTTAAAAAATCCTCCTTTCATAAAGGGAGAACAGATTATTATTATTATTGGCCCATCCTGTTTTTGCATACATAACACAAAATAAGAAATGTTTAAGTTGAGCAATGTAATAAAAAGTTGTATTGCATAAAAGTGATTAGATTTTGGCAATCAATTTTTGATGAGTGGATAAGTGTATCCTGAGGAAAATATTATAAGGTCTAAAGAATATTATTACTAAAATATAGAACTATTGGAAAATGAATATTGTGACTCCTTATAAGCATCTTTTTGTGAAAAATAAAGTTTCTCTACGTTTTTTAGGCTATTATTAATGTAATTTTAGACATCCTACTGAATGTTCTAAAAGGTTTAATGAATAGAGGTAAAACTGCTCTTTTTTCACAAGGAAAGGCCTGTCTGGAATAAGACTCTATATCAAGACTGATTTAAAAGAATAAAGAACGTCAATCTTAGAAAAGGAAACTGATTTTAAATACTACTACTCAATCAGTTAAATTTTTAGAATCTCATATACAAAGTATATTGGAGATGGATCAGAAATTTAAACTTTTATTAATGTAAAGGTTTAAAAAGGTTTACTAAAGGAAAAGTAGATTATTTGTAAATAATCATAATCACCACATTAATCAGGTTTATACATGTTGAACAAATTTATAATTTTTTATGTATATATCTGAGGGTTTATCAATAAGTCTGTAACTTACTTCACTGTTGAAAGTTCAATCAGTATAATATTTAGCAATGATGCTAAGTGCATTACCAGAGAAGGATATTATGTGGAAAAAAATTTATGTAAAATAAGTAGTGAATTTTATGTATGCATGTATTTTTATTTATATATATAAATATTTTTTATATAATAAGAACAATTTTATGGGAAAGAAGTATCATAAAGTGGGAAATGTTTTCATGTGACACATTTCATCCTTGAGGACTTCAAAGGATTAAGTTTATGTTTATGCAACTACACATGTGCATGAGCAAAAGAAGATCAACATAAACTTGGTCCAATGAAATCCTAAAGGATGAAATGCATCACATGAAAACTTCTTACACATTTATTTATATATATATATATATATATATATATATATATTGTTGCATAAAAATTTTCTTTAAACCAATGTTCATCATTACTTATATTGAATATATAATATTCAATCATATAGCCATATAAAATTCCCTGATTGTACATAGTGTGAATGCATTTTTCAATGGAAATTCAAACCCAACTAGCACTCATTGATAACCAGTTTGTCTGAGTTTACCAATAGGCTTTATGCTATCTACTTGTGTTCAGTTATTGAATGAAGCTTGTCAAATCTGCTACTGAAACCCTCAAAATGCTTTATCAGATTTTTGGCAAACATTTTTCAGGTTTTGAGAATGACTTGAGTTTCAAGGTTGGTAAAATGTCACTTCATGATGAGAACCATTCAGAATGACCAATCACCAGCAGTATACCAGAAAATTATTTTGTAACATATCCATGAAGATCATCATCAAACAATCCATATGTTCTCTCACATGATTGGAATCAGGAAGCCTGTCAGGAGATCCTGTTGCTGGAACTTGCCAATATCACCTTGTATATTCTAATAAACAAGATTTTATGGACATGCATTTTTTGTTTTTATCTATGTTTGAGTTTATATTTATCTTAATTTTGATTACATATATCTTCAAAGAAGAAAGAGTAAAAATATGAATATACTGATTTTTAGCAAATTTTAAACTAAATTCATAAACAGCTGACAAAAGATGTCTCATAGTAAAACTGATGTATTTTTTATAGAAACATCACCAAATCAACATATTATCGTATTCATAACTGATGTCCTATGAGAAACCTTCACAAAGTTCAGTGAGCAAAGAAAGTTTCTGAACATTTATTGTTTGCCTTCTCATTCCTCTATAATTTTGCCAATCATTCATGCTAAATGCTGCTGTTGTTTGGGAAAGTCCAAAAGGACATTTTCAATATGCTTCTTTATAATTCTTAGCAGCACTCTCTATATGCAAGCCACCAATCTACCACTGGGTAGCATGCCACTTACTGCTGGTGGCCTGCTGTTTGACCACCAACATGTTCGTCTCAGAAATGTTACCACTGGCGGACTGCTAGAGGCCCAACAGTGGCCTGCTGGTGGCCTGCTAGTGGCTGCCACCAGAAGCCATGACATTGCCGACCCGCCAGCAGGCCACTAGCAGCTTGTGTGTAGGAAAGGTCAAGTGTATTTATTAACCACTTGCAACATTCATCTTGAAATATTGTTTTTCCTATTTGAGAATGGCTCCATTTTACAATGAGTTAGCAATTCAAATGCTAAAAAAAAAAAAAAGGATATTTAAGTATACAACTTTCATGGTGTGCTTAAATAATATTAGAAACATCAATAAAAAATTTTAAGACTACATGCATGATTATCAATATCATGACTGCTTTTAAAGTAAAATATCTAATTGAAAAAAAATGTGAATTTTATTATAAGACACCCTTAAAGTAAAAAAAGGTAAATAAAAAATTTTAACTGAAACATAAATTTACAGCATATGAAAGGAATATTTTTAACAGTAATGTGATGAAATAGTCATTCAAAAAATAAGGTTAAAAGGAGGGCCAGCCAAAAAAGAGTGATAAAAATTTAAAAAAAAAAACAAAAAAAAACAAAAGAAAAAGTAAATAAAAAAGGAATTAAAATCATTTAAAAAAAATAGAAAAATAAAATTAAGAAGACATTGTAAAAGGGGACAAAAGAGACTTAAGAAAAGGATGGAGAGAAGAAAATGGAGTTTGGAGCTGAGGAGATGACAATAAGGATTGGTAAAAATGACAAAAAAAAACAAGACAAAGTTTCAAAAAATGCATTAAGGAAATGGAAATTTGTGCACCATTTTAGGTGAAAAAATAAAAACAAAAGACTCTTTTTAAAAATATTATAAACATGATTTTAACATAATAAAATGTGGTAATAATATTAATAATAAAAAAAATTGTGTGTATAAGCAAGCAAAAAAATAGCAAACAAAATACAGAATTGATAACAAGAAGCACCAACATTTAATATTTAGGATATAAAGCAAAAATGAAGCAAATGACTTTTGTTAGCTGGATTGTAACAAGAGCAGTAATAGTCCTTACAGGTTAAACTATTTCATTTTTCATTACAGAAATTTTGTTTGCATTCATAGTTATTATTCTCACCTAACCTATGAATTATAGAAATGCAAAATTGTTTACTGTTATTAATCAAATGCAATGAATGTTTCAAACATTTCTACTGAGAAAATATTTCTGCAACAAATACACACTTAGTTATTTGTTTTTGTATCTTTAATATTGCTCTTTTGATTAGAGAAGAGATCTTTGTTACTCTCTGAATTACCGAAATAAAGAATTATCATTACTATACAA